ATTGTGGAATAATGTTGCCAAGAAAATGAGAATCAGTGGGTTTAGTGTTCTTACTTTCTTTTCTTTCTCTTGTTAATTTTTCCAGCAACCTTTACCCAAGGGAATTTCTATTACTGCGTCACCACACAATTGTTTTAAAAATTATTATTTGTTTATTTGTATGTGGGTCTGTACATGCATGCCAAAGCATGTGGTAGTCAGGAGACAACTTGCAAGAGTCAGTTCTTTCCTTTTACATGTGGGACCTGGGATTGGACTCAGATTGTTAGCCTTGGTGGCAGGTGACTTTACCCACGAAGCCATTTTGCTTTAGTTTTGGGGAAGAGAAGTATCATGTCAAAATGTCAGCGTAATCCTTACTGTTATTTGAGGCCATGCTGTATCTGAATACTGCTTGTAGGTTTGTTACTAACTTGGTGGGTCTCCCCCTCCCCTCTTGGAGGACTATATAATTTTGTTCTGTATTGTTTTGTATTCTAAATGGGGCTAATGTTTAAAGTGAATGGAGTATTATAGTCTTAGCACTGAACGTACAGCCTACAAAGAACCTTTGTGAGCTGACTTAGCAATGCTTTCCAAGTACTTCTGTCAGACACACACAAAAACAGCACATATTTTAATACCAACCTCTAAGTTCCAACACGGCTGTTTAAGGTATTTCTCGTGTCTGAAATGTTGTTGGGTGTTCTGGGTTATGCTTCCGTTCTACTTCTGTCTTCTGACCTAGGCCACAAATTGCATTATTGTAAGGGATATAAGGTTTACTTTTGCAGCCTACTCTTATGAGCAAAACTGACTTACGCTGTAGACCCTCACTGCAAAGTGGACTCCACTGAAGGTCAAGAATTTATGCTAGATTCTTGTTTGAGGACATTTTAGTCTTTTAAACAGAACAAGGGTATTTTGGATTTACTACCATGTTCTTGAACTTGACAGTATTTCATGGTACGTGGCCAAAATTGATCCTGCTACATTGAACGTGAAAAGGGACTTATTATTTCATCTTATGCTACCTAAGTAGGCTTCTTTTAGATTTTTTTGTTTTGTTGTTTTTGTTTTTCGAGACGAAGTTTCTCTGTGTAGCCCTGATTGTCCTAGAACTCACTCTGTAGACCTGGCTGGCCTCAAATTTGGAGATCTGCCTGCCTCTGCCTCCTGAGTGCTGGGATTAAAGAGGTGCGCCGCTGCCACTTGGCTTCGATTTGTTGATTTTTATCTGTATGGGTGTTTGCCTGCATGTGTGTTTGTGAACCATGTGTGCTTAGTGTCTGTGGAGCCCAGAACAGGGCATTGGACCCCTAGAACTGAAGTTATAGGCAGTTGTGAACTGTTGTCTAGGTGCTGGGAACTGAACCCTAAATCCTTTGGAAGAGCAGCCATTGCTCTTAACTACTGGGCCATCTCTCCTGCCCTCCATTTTAGACTTTTACCCTCAAATAATTTTTTTGGGGGGTGGGTGTGAGGGCTTCAAGACAGGGTTTTTTTCTTGTATAATATTAGATGACTAGCCTTAATATTATACATCCCAGGGGCTCAGGAGAGAGAACTACTAACAGCGAGGACTATTTTCAGGAAATAGAGTCTCAGCACACCGAGCTCTATAGTCCACTTGCTTTAATTCCTCTGGCATAACATCCTTTATACACAGCTTCAGTTCTGTTCTCATGCCTAGCTCCTTTCTTGCCTGATTTCTCTCTATACTTACCTATTGCTCCTTCTAAGTTCTATCTTAATTCTCTCATCTTAACTCTGCCTTATCTAGGTCCTTTTCAGCTTGTTCTTACCCAGCTAGTACTTCCCCATCTGGCTCTTCCTCATCTTCCATCTCATTCCTCTAGTACTCTCTTCTAGCCCTTCAATCTCGTTCTTCCCCCATCTCAGTTTGTTCCTCTCAAGTTCTTACCTGTCTAGTTCTTCCATTCTCTTTTCTCTTCTCCCTCCTGTGCCCTGGAAGTCCTGGTATATAAAGCCAGGCTTCCAGGGTCAAACGGAGGGGTGATAAGAATCACATTGAGAGGCAATAACTGTTAATTATCATTTGCAACCCCAAAGGGAAGTGACTAATGGGGAAATGAATTAACTAAAGGCTAAATGCGGGTAATATCTAAGAAGAGGGATCTTATGTGCTCAACTATAGTCTTAAATGTGATTAGTAGAAAATGTTAAGAATCTATAAGTTGCTAGGTCAATGAGAGAAAATAAAACTGTCTTTTTTCCTGTGGCTCCTATCTGTCCAAGCTATCTGCCATTTTTCTGCAGGGTTGGGGAAAGTGTGCTCAGTCGTTAGGCAACCTGTGTACAGCTAAGATGCCTCTGGTGATAGTTAAAGGGAGATCTGGAACTAGAGGTAAGGTTTGGGAAAGGAGGAAGTAAGGCTTAATTGGCACATCTGCCAGGCCTTCTCAAACAGGTAGCCTGGATGCTTAAGTCTGTTCTTAGAGAGTACAGAGGTATCTCTGATAAGGTACTTTCCTCCATCTGGGGATGGACCTGGCCAGATGCTGCCAATGATGATAATTACAGGGAGGCTTGAACTGGGGTTCTGGCTGAGTGTAGCTGGCAGCACAGAAGGTTATCTAAATATTCCTAGAAGTGGTTAGATAAGAAGTTAAAGGTCTATAAAGTGAGTTAAGGATGTAAGAAAGGAGGGTCCGAGCTAAATTGTGTAAAGCTATTAACGTCCACCTGACCTAGGTGGTGTCTCCTTGTGGAATTTATCTTAAACCAGGAGACTTGCATGTGAACTGTTATTACTGCTAGTCCTTGAAAGTGGCCAAGGGAGATATCTGATTCCAGAGGAAGCCTTTCCTGAGGCTGTTTTCCAAATACCTGGAATGTGTATGTCCAGAGAGTGATCAGTCCACACTGTTAGCCCTTCTTAGGGAAAAGTCAATTGGGAAAACTATGAAGGCACACATGATTTTCATAACATAATACAGCTGATATATAACAAGCCAAGTAAACACCAAAAGCTCCTTGGAATTTGGCTTCCTCTGAAGGAATTCTTTGATCCCTCCAGGTAGTGACTTTGCTATAACCAGCTGAGTTCTTATGATATATTCCTGCGGTCCGCAGCAGTTTCTCTGTGTAGTCCTGGCTGTCCTGGAATTCTCTGAAGACCAGGCCGACTTTGAACTCATCTGCCTGCGTCTGCCTCCCAAGTGCTAGGATTAAAGGTGTGTGCCACCACCGCCTGGCAACATGAAATTAAAAGAAAACAAAACAAAAAACTTGGAAAAGAAAAGGGCGTGGAGAAATAGTGCCTCTCCCTGCCAGTCACTATGTAATCTCCCTGTATGATTTGATTTTATTTGTTTGTTTTTTCGGTTTTGGTTTTGTGTGTGTGACAGGTTCTGGCGCTCGCTCTGGCCCTGCTAACCTGATACTTATGAGGATCCCCCAGGCTTTGCCTCCTGTGTGCTGGGATTACAAGTTTGTGTCATCATGTGTTTTGTCTTGTTTTGTTGAGACCGAGTCTTACACTGTGGCACATACTGGCCTAGAATTCATTGTGTATCTCATGGCAGTACCACTGCCTCAGCTTTTCGAATGCTGGGATTGCAGGTATGAGTCAGGATGCCTACATCTATATGCTTCCTCTTGAAATAGAAAGCATAACTACTGACAGTCCCCAAGGCCAAAGAAAAATATTTAAGGATGAAATGAAAATTAAGATGGGGGGGGTGTTATATAAATTGCTCAAACGCAAAAGCTTAAATTACCCAAAGAAACATTGAAAGAAAGAAACCAAGAGCTAGAGATGAGTCAGCAGTTGAGAGCACCCACTGCTCCTGCAGAGGACCCAAGCTCAATTCCCAGCACCCACACAGTGGCTCACAACCGTCTGTAACTCCAGTACCAGGGATGGAACCCTCTTCTGGCCTCCATAGGCACTCCACACATGTGAAGCACAGACATCCATGCTGGGAAACATCCATACACACACAATCTTTTAATGAAAGAAAAATTTAGATGAGAGAGACCAAACTGGAGATGGTAAGATTCTTTTTTTCTTTTTCTTTTATAACTATAAAAATTTTAAACAGTCTTGAGCTGAGAAGGAAAGCAGAATTGGGATGGGGTATAAATAAGTTCTATCTTGGGAAGTAGACATGGAATATATAATCCAAATGGTCCTTCCAGAAACAAGTTGTTTCCCTGTGACTCCAAAAAGTAAGATGATAATAATGAGATTAATAGGGTGTGTTGATGCTGGATTGGGTAACCATCTGCAGGTAGAAAACACAGGCAGCAAAGACAGATATTTCTCAGATAAGAGGCTTGGCCTGGGAGGAGGGGACTGGACCTGCCTGGACTGAGTCTACCAGGTTGATCTCAGTCCTTGGGGGAGGCTTTGCCCTGGATGAGGTGGGAATGGGGGTTAGGCTAGAGGGGAGGGGGGAGAACAATTTTATCCTTGGCTGATATGTAGAACTGAATTGTATTGTAAAATAAAATAAAATTTAAAAAAGAGAGAGAGAGATTTATGTCCTCTCAGGGCATCTAAGCTAAGCCTCAGTTTTGTAGTTTAGAAGTTTGAGTAAACATGCAGCCTAATGGGCTCTAAGGGATTAGAATTATTCCAGCCATCTTTACAACTCACAATACCAATTGTGTGTGTGTGTGTGTGTGTGTGTGTGTGTGTGTGTGTGTGTGTGTGTGTGTGT